GTTTGTATGTATAAGGATCAGGTTCAAAGGACACACAAAAGCCACATCTTTAAACCTTGGATGTTCAAAAGCATTTGACATTAAAAACAATGCCTTTGTATATCGGTCCTGATCCTATTCTAACAGTTTCAATTTCTATTAAAAGATCAGAAATAAACAAGTTTAGTAAGCAGCTAAGGTGCGTGGTTGAAAATAAATATATACCCATTGACGAAACACCATCCGGACAGATTGGCTGCTTTCGTAAGACTTCTCCTCCATCTTTGCACCTTCTCCATGTCATCTTTGAACTCGCATTCATAGTCAGCAAGTGCCTGACCGAAACTGCCCCTTTGATGCCGTACATCCGACGGATTCACCTTGTAAAAAACAGGCCAAACTATTTGCTCCCTTGTTTCTTTACTCTCAAGGATCTTGACCAGTTCATCCAAGCACCACTTCGAAGATGCATAGTTTTCGGAGAACACGATGATGGAAATCTTCGACTCTTCGATCGCTCTGAGAAGGGCCGGTGATATTTCTTCCCCTCTCTTAAGACCATCATCTATGAAGGTTCTAATTCCCTTCCGAGTCAAATTACTGTGCAGATGATCAGTAAAGTTGAATCGCGTGTCCTCGCCTCTGAAACTCAGGAAGACGTCGTATGTCATTGAATGACTGTCGTTTGATTGCGTGCCGGAGAAGTAAACAGGCTGATCAAAGAGCTGGGAAGGGCATGGCCTCTGGGTTTCTTTTAATTTAATAAGAAAGCATCTTATGAGCGAGGGAAGCTGCGAGCTTCAACTTCCTTTGTGAGAACACAGCGAAGTCGATGAAGGTGAAGGGAAGACAAGGAAAGGAAAGGAAACAAAGAAAGAGGAAGGGCCAGTGTTCTTTTGTTGAAACTTCAAACGTCTTTTCCAGTCCATAACGACAAAAGCTCATACGCGTAGTGGAAAAATCCAAAACGACAAAAGCTCATTCGCGTAGTGGAAAAATTTTAAAACGACAAAAGCTCATACGCGTAGAAGTTGGTGTGTTTCAGTGTTGTCCTTTAATTCTACATTAAACTTTTTCTTCTTCTTTTTTGAATACAAGAGATAGTCTAAGATACAAGGGGAGCGGAGTTTTTGCACACACACTAACAAGGTACCACGGGAGTTCAAACCCCCCTGTTGGCAACTTTTTCTTTTTCTTTTTGAGTGGATTTGTTGATGAAAAAGAAACCTAAGAAAGCCACAAAGATTATTTTACATTGGTAGCCATTAATTCTTTATCGTCTTTAACTTCCATACAAATGGTTTGGGGAGCAAATCATTTCTGGTCCAATATATCTGACATTCATACTGAAAGAGTGAATGAATATAGCAATTCTGTGTGTATTTGCAAGCACAAATAACTGACATTGGGACCAATAATATATATATGGTTTCTCAAACCAGAACTTTTCATATTATCTTTATTTTTACACAAACTAACTTGGACGGACTCACAGGGATCTGAATCCAGAGTCTTTGTGGGTAGCACCTGCCCACTATCAGCAATCACATCTTTGGGAAATTGTGGTAAAAAGGTTTTCTCCAGTAGCTTCCGGCTTTCGACATTGCTGTCATACCCTTGCTTCCTTTGCTTCACTGTACAGTTTATCAATACGGTCCTGCAGATGATATTCCAAAAATTATAAACTTAACATTCACTTGACGAAGTCAGCTTTTACTATTTGAGAGAGAGAGAGAGAGAGAGAGAGAGATTTATTTATAGAATGAGGGAGACCCGTTTATGGCATAGCACTTGATCATTAGCAATAGAAATTCATTTCTTTTAAGAAATAATCCAAGGTCACAGCCGCAAGGGTGGGGAAAGGATATTAAGTGAGTGGCAAACTGAAGGCCTACCAGGTGCTTGAAAAGGAAGTCGCACAGTTACAGTGAGGAGATTTAAGAAAATATATAGAAAGAGAGAGCAAAGGCATACCTTGTAATAATATTTAAGTAGGTGTGGTCTCTTCAGTTTGAATGTTGGAGTTATAAGATCCCTCTCCATGTCAAAGGGATTTGGTTCCAAGTGAACTGCTTTTAACAGCTCAAAACCTCGAAGCTGCAGGAAGGTCACCCAAGTCAGATTGAGTAGACATTAACAAAGCATCGAATTAGAAACAGGGAGTTGAGACAATTATCTACATACTTGCTGCTTCTGACCAACACTATTGAGCTCATCCAAAATGTATTTTCTTGCCTTCAGGTTTTGACATAATGATTTAAAATCATCGGTCAAATGATGCTCTGCTGCCCAATCCTCCAATGCCTTTCTGTCAGGGACCACCACAGCAACAAGAAACGACTCAAAGGCTGTTCCCATAAACCCAAATCTGCAAACCAGAGGAAAGTTCAGATATCCACAACTTTAGAAAACAGGAAAACAACCAGAAGGAAATTTTCACAAATTAAACCAAAAATACAAACTCGTCAATGCAGGAAAACAGAGGCGAGTCCTAATGTATGGAAATAGTTCTACTTCTATTGGATGTAGTAACAAGCAACGTACCGATGTGAGAAGAGGGCATTGCAGGTATTTGCTTTCAATGTTTTCCACAGCAACATATTCACCTTGAGACAGTTTAAATATATTCTTTTTCCTATCTATAATTTTCATTGCTCCATTAGGCTGCAATTCTCCAATGTCACCTGCAATCCACTCAAAGTCAAGAAATACCACCTTTTAATGCAACAATTAACCATCAACAAAACATTCTAACATGCACAGTGGTGACATCTTGACAAGCCAAAAGACTGACCATCAAGCAAGTAAATTATTTCATTCAACTGTATGGCTAACTATTGTAAGAATTTTTACCAGTATGAAACCATCCATCAATAAGGACTTCCTCTGTCAGATCTTGTCGCTTGTGGTAACCAGAAAACAAGGATTTTCCTCTCAGGCAAATCTCTCCACGTGGCACACTGGAAAGTGCATCATATCCCATTTCTGGCACTGACTCAAGCCTTGTTTCAATAGTTGTCATGGGGACACCCACAGTTCCCATCATAGGAAAAACATTGCCAATAGACGTAAGACATCCACCACAGCTTTCAGTGAGGCCTACATGTCAAAGAGCTTAACAAGCTGATGGAAAGCTCTTTTTTTAAGGAAAACTTTTATAAACTACTGTTGATGTGCTGTGCATCAAAATTTAAAAAGCTCGCATCACTGACTAGAAAATCTTGCATACATGGTACATCCTAGATCATGCATATATTGTTGTAATTGTAAGTAAATATCTTAACCTTATAAATTTTCCTGTATTTTCAAAATTATGCTTCAGATTTCATCAGTTAAACAATTAATACCAGCTTCTTCGAAGATGAGAATGAATTCATACTAGGTCAAGTCCGCATCACAATGTCTTTTCTTTTTTCTTGGCCAAATATAAAGGTCACTGCAAAACCTATGAAGACTACCTAACACCATTTATATGATTCTATACATTTCCTAGACGACTTAGCAGATATTCATCCAACCATACCATATCCTTGTGACAAAGTACTGCAGGCGGTGACCCTAAAAAATTCCTCCACATGCCTAGGCAAAGGTGCAGCACCAGACAACAGTATACGAACTCGTCCCCCTAATGCTTGTTTTATCTGCCACAAGTAGCACTTTGTTAGAATGTAAAACAGCTATTTCAAGAACGGAATGGTGAAGGATGGGATGACTGACCTTATCAAAGACAAGCTTGTCCAAGGGAGGTGCTGCGTTTTCTTGTGGCAGACCCTTCTCCAGATTTGCCAACTTGCTGTCAATTAAATCTTCATTAGTTTTATTGTAGAGATGCAAATGCAAACACAAATATTTCCATTTTATCGTCACTCATACTAGTTATAAGCATATTGGAACAGCATCTTCCTCAACGCACCGCTAGACGAAACTTTATTAGCAATACCTGCACGACGAAAATTTAAGCCAAATATTTAGAATAACAAAATTCAAGGACATATATCTATATAGTTCAGTATAATGCATGCATTACCAGTGTATATGCGATCATACACTCTAGGGACCCCGCAAAACATAGTAGGCCTTAGTTCCTGAAGGTCCTCCATTAGAAATCTGATATCCTTCAAGTTCAAAGTAAAAAATCACATTGGGAACAAGTTGGTAATGCACCAAGAGAACTTTTGCCAGAAACATATAAGTGTAAGAAAAAGAAATCACTGCAATAAATTACTTTTATTACTTACTCCTCGCCAGAAGCCTATAGAGGAACCCTTGTAGATGCAATAGCTCTCCATAATTTGATCATATATATGGGCCAAAGGAAGAAAGGAAAAATACGAATCTTCTTCTGTACACTGAAATAATCATGTGATCAATTTCAGTGTCAATGTCATATGATTAGCGCGAGGAAATAATCATTGAGTTCAATTGATAAACTTAACAACAAATCATGTTCACAACTTTCTAGAGGTAATACTTCCTTGTAATCACAGAACTTGGAAAGAGAAACCAAAAGTTAAAATAAAAAAAAGGTGCAAATAAGAGGCAGCATAATCATTAATTTGGAAACTCCAAGGATATATATCGTAAAAAGGCTAGGAAACTCATTTATTATGAAAATAGTAATCTATGTTCAGTTGTTTACCACTTTATCTGTTAGAAAAAGTATTTGCTCCACAGACAATACTTCTGCCATAATTGCTCCATTAGTAATAATAACACCTTTTGGTTCTCCAGTTGTTCCACTTGTGTACATTATAGTGCAAATGTCAGTCCTCTGTTTTGGAGGTAGTTCACAATCTAAATTTCCCTGAAAAAAGATGAGGAAAGGTGGTTCTACATTATTGAAAACCATTTGACCAATCTTTTACCAAAAAAGAGAATTTATATGAGAAAATAGTGTTAACAAATTACCAACTGAGAGAATTCCTCCCAAGAAAAACAAGATACCCCCAGTCCTTCAGCTTCCTCCTTTTGCGTGCTAGAAAAATTTGCAAAGCTAACAATTGCTGAACAAAACAAATGCATAACTGAGATACCATCCGTTGAAATTTCACCTTAAACTTCAAGTCTCTAAGGAAATAGCATATGACCTACTTTTTAAATGCGTAGAGCAATTTGGAAGGCATGACAGAATCTGCACAAAGCATTTCGATATGAGCAGGACATTATGAAACAAGAGAAAGAGAGCCGGAAACAACTAAAATACCATATATTTATTAAACTAATGAGGGTCAAAATACACAAAGCCAAGTTCGTCTTTATATTTATATTGAGGTTTGATGCCATGGAATTGGATTAGGAAGATTTTAGTACCACGGTATCAGAAATCAGTAGCCTTGAACATTTAAGTAATTATGATGATCCTATAAAGAGAAGGTACTCATGATCATGAGGAAATAGATAGAAAGATAACTTACAGCAGGGATCTTGTTCTCTTGAACAAAAGCTATGGAAACTTCAGCATGATTGATGATGAATTCAACTGCATTAGCACCTGTTATACGTAAAACCATGAAAAGTTAATGTCATATATTCAATCGAACTCGACCACCATCATTGGAGTCCAATTGCTACTGGAAATTATATTGCGGAAGAAAATGTATAGAAACTCTAAAACTCACGGTGATATAAGCACTGATGATCATTGACAAAGAGAAAGAAAACATACCAAGGGTGTCATACAGCGGAACATAGGTTATGGCATGGCTATTACAGGCCTGTAAAACATCAAGAAAACACAAAAGCATTACAGTTATTCAACCGGTCAAAGAATTTCCTTCCGATATTGACAACTTCTCCCTTCAAGTGAGCAATGCATGAACATGAAGCCAATCATGATCCATGAAAATAGGAAATACAGTATTTACCTCCATTGCAGTAAGCCACTGGGGGGAGTTTGATCCAAATATACCACAACGATCTCCCTGTATACATTTAAAAGATACAAAAATATAAAACACCAATGTCAGTTTCCTTCTATTTTTTTCCTTTTGCTATGATAAACACCAACCTTTCACAGCTACTACTTTCACTAACAACTTGCATCGACTCTAAACAACATCACATTACAATTATAAATCTTTTCTTTTCTTCATTCACAACATAACATATTGCATGTCAAACTTTAATGCAAATTACAATAACACATTAATTTATGCATTCATACACACACATATATTCTCAATAGGCACGTGACTTACAGGATTGACACCGCGGCTCCTGATGGCTGAACCCATTCGAATGGCTGCATCATGAACCTCTTGATATGTAAGCCATACATAGGGACCCACCTGCAATTTCCATTAAACAAATTCAAAATTGGCATTTCATAAACTTATTTGGAAAGAAAAAAAAGAGCTAATGGGTTTCAATGGGTTCGTGCTGTTGCTCAAAAAGAAGGTACCTTTGTGGCCTTGACTTGACGCCGACCAAGCATTGGATTGTTCGGATACTTTTTCGCAGAGTCGCTGCCAGTAAAAGCAGAGTTTCAGCCATGAACTCACGCTAGGAATTTGAATTACAATATGTTTTGAATTGATTGCAATTTTCCAGTGATTTTAAGCTTTCTAGAAAACTAAGAACAGGGTTTGTGCTATTCGAGTTGCAGAGCGTGGATTAGTAGAAAAGCAAGCTTCTTTTTCTTTGTTTTCTGCTTCAGCTTCTCTAACATTTCTTTTGGCTGACCACAACCAGAAAAAAACCTTTCTTTTCGATCAGCACGACATGACGTTTTCTATCCCATTTTAGTATAGTAGTAAAAAGTACGGGGAAATCATCAAATGGCCTATTAGCTCAGCTGGTTAGAGCGTCGTGCTAATAACGCGAAGGTCGCAGGTTCGAGACCTGCATGGGCCATTCTCTTCTTCTTTTTTGGTTAATTTTTATCCCAGAACAAACTGTCAAGCTAGATCGATCTGCTTAAACACAATTACCTCCTTTTCGTTCTAGCTTCTCCTTTTCTCCCGAGTATCAAAGTGAGAATATTTAAAACAAGACAAAAATGCAATTTGTTTCTACATCATATCCAATATAAATATGCCAAATTTTCCGGGAAAGTTTTTGTCCATTTACTCAGGATCCAAACAAACATTTAAGCATGCATTCACAACAAAAATGTGACACTCAAATTAACGTAAATTATTAACCCCGTAACACATATAACGCACGAGACATGCAAGTGCAACAACAGCAAGTAATTCCAAAATGGGATGAGAGACATACCTGAGAAACTGCCATGGAGACTCCAACCCCTCCGGCAACTCCATGAGCCCATCTTTAGCATAAATGCTCCTGTACACAGGCCCCGCCGATGGCCTCCCGTCTGCGGCCGGCCTTGATTCTTCAACCTTCACTATAAAATCCATCAACCCTTTTACCCGACTCAGCTAAGTAAGCAAGCTAGCTAGCTAAAATGAAAGAACCTATACAAGATGAAGAGATAGCTAGCTAGAACGATTTGGATAGCTATGGTAATATTATGGTGTTGAAAGCTTTTTGGTGAATGTTATAATTAATAACCAGAACCAGAAAGGGAGGTGGGACGGTTTGGTACAGCTGAAAGCAATAAATTCTGGTTTTTCCGCTTTAGGAAAAAATATTCATATCTTCACCAATTTATAGCGGCGTTTATGAGGGGAAAGTCTTAAAGCTACCAGCTAGCGGCATTTATAATGGTAGATGAAGTTTGGTGGGTGTTTCGAACTTTTTTTTTTAATACAAGTGATAGTCTAAATTACAAGACGGAGGGGTGTTTCTCACATATACTACCAAGGTATCATAGGAGTTGAATTTGACTGAGACCACTAATTTGCAGGTCAAGACTCTTTTGCATTGAGCTAAAGCCGATTGGCATTAACTTATTGGAACTAGTGCTTGTTTTTGTAAAGAAATTTGGTCTTTCTATTTTGTTGGTTTTTTGGTGAGCTGCCTTGTGGTACATTTTGGTGAAATGGGTAGCCAAATTAGAATGATTCATCAATTATTTGAAACAATTTCCTGATGCAGGCATGTTAATTATAGTAACTATTTTCTTTCATGGTGATGTCATGTGGATCATGAGCAATAAATGGTGCAACAATTCACACAAGATCCAGCTAAGTTGAAGACCAAGTGGTTGGAAAAACAATATTCAGACATTTGTATACTTGATCTGCTGGATAAGATTTCCAATCTTTGTTAATGTTGATTTAAATATTTGGTTAGTATAACTTGTTGAATACCCTCAAGATTTTAATATAATTAACTTTGCCCCAAGTATTTTTCTATTGTGTCTTTAGAATTAAGGACCTATAGTTAAATGGAAAATTGTAAATTGATCCTTTAGATTTTGATGTTTGTAAATTGATCCTTTAGGAAGAAAAAAAAACCATATTATATAATATATAATATGTGCAGGTGGGTGAGATTGGGTATGAAAAAAAGAAATTAATGGTAGATTGATGCATAAGTCTAAGCAGTCCATGAAAATGGTTGTCTGTTGGACTAAACTCCCAACAAAATTTGTGACTCTGTTAGACATTTGGTACAGCAATGTTTGAACCTTGACAAGATGACAACATCCTGATGATATCTGACAATTTGAAACTTTTTTTTTTTTTTACTTTTTTAAATTGAAAGATTAATTAAAGTTGCAACCTAAGCCCAAGGTAGCTTTTCTTTTTTCATTTTTCATTTTTAGTTTTCAACGCATTTGAGTCTATTTATGTGAGATTTTTGTTATTTTTATGAACATACGGGGTAAATTGGGCTCAAAGTAAATTCGGCCTGAACTACACAATGGGCCTATAGCTTTGATTCTGGGTTGGTTTATTGTTGAAAGGTTCAGTTTTCATTCAAGTCCAGAAGCTGGCTGGCCTTAGTTGGGCATTGTTTTTCCTTGCTCTGTCAGCCCATTTTTCAAGTCATGTATCCAAATATGATTATATATATACTGCAAGAGTAGCAGCAGCAACAGGGGAACAAAATTAACCAAAAACTACCAAACAGCAAAACCAGGCAGCCCCCGTAAAAGGAAACTGAAATTCTACAGATATCAAAAAGGAAGCAGCCAAAAGAAACCATAAATCTAATTTAGCAACCCAATTAAAGCAAAGAACTCTGCCTGCAATTCAATTTCAACCCCAAAAATTCTTTGTTCTAAATTACACGATCCATGCATCAACAAGGACCAAATCAAAATGCTACAATATTACACAGAGATCTAAAACACCAAAAATTACCCAACTTGTGGCGTTGACTTTCCCCAGTGTGGACGACCGACCACACATTCTACCAACCCACTAAAGTCAGTGAGATGAAAAGAATGACAATGACGAGTACAGAAGAACACTGAACCCATTGCACTTCTTCACATCCTGCTCTTTCTCTGTTTTCTCTGCCTAGTGCCTACCCCCAAAAAAAACCTAAATCAACCCAAACCCCCAAATTGCCACTACACTTTAGCCCTAACCCTAGCTCACATGGCATTTTGCATTATTGTCGGTAGGTTTTTGCTCTAACACAAATAAATGGCGCCAAAACCCATTAAATCTCTCTCATTTATGAGCCTCTCTATAAAACCCCAGTTTTTTGTTTTGTTTTGTGTGTTTTTCCTGCTCTCCTTCTCTCTCGTCAATTCTGGGCATTTAATGCCTCCTCACTCCTCAGCTCCCAATTAATGACCGCACCAGCCTTCATTTACTCTCCGACTCTCCCATCTCCCACCGTCTGTTTTCCCCCCTCCCTCGCTCGCTCCATCCCCTCCCTCCACGTGTCTCTCCAGAATTTAATCGTTCCGATCTTTTCTTTTGGTTTCTATCTTCTGTTAAACCTCTCTGGCGATAACAACGCCTCTGGATCTCCGCACCGGAGGCGGCTCGACGAGAAAGCTGACATCGCCGACGATCTCATGAACATCGGGCTCGTCATCGACTTGCTCCGGCGAGACGATCCTCCGGCCCCTCCGCCGGAGAATCTCGCGCTCGGCTCCGTCAGCGGGAAGAAGCATTTCCGGCGGAAGAAAGGCGATTTCATATTCACGCCGCCTCTGTACGTTGACCTGAAGGAGAAGACCCGAGGCTTAGTCAACGACCCGAACGGCGACGGCCGCTTGCTCCAGAAGCTTCCTCTCCGGTACCGCCACGGCGACGCCGTCGCTGGCTCCGTCACCATCATCCTATCCGCCGACGCCGAGCTCCGCTCGAATCCGAACGAGTGCGATCGCTTCAGGACGAAATCTCCGCCGTTGATCCGATAATCATCCCAGTAGTTGGAGCTCCTCCTCGGCGACCGGTCCTCCGCGCACCGTTCGATCTCGGTGACGATCGAATCGGAATCCCGAGACGCTGGAGCTTCAGCAAGCGGCTCGAGCGCGATGCTCCGGAAAACGGCGTCGTCGAGGCTCGGCCGGATCCTGGCTGCCATCAACGGAACGAACGGAGACTCCGGGCGGAATATTCCGGCGCGGCAGAGAGGACAGTTGGCGTGAGATCGAAGCCACATGTCGATGCAGTCTACGTGAAACACGTGCGAACAGACCGGAAGAGTGCGAACGTAGTCGTCGTCTTGGAACTCGATCAAGCAAACAGCGCAGTCTTTACTGAGAGGATTATTCAAACCGGTCGACGTCATTTTGGACGTGTAGAGAGAGAGCGGGATCGTTTTGATGACCGACTCGTCGAGGCCGTAGGGAGAGAAGGCGTGGAAGGCGAGGTCGGCCGGGTCGAACGACGAGTCGTACCGTGGAGAGTCGAGGTCGCCGATGGAGGAGGGGAGGTAGGAGCGGCGACGACGGCGGCGCCAGCGTCGTTGGAGGCGGAGGATTGGCGGGATGACGTGTTGGGAGATGAGGCGGGAGTAAGTGACGATTAGGAAGGCGGTGGCGACGACGACCACCATGGCGATTAACGGCGGGGAGAAGTCGATGGGGTACTTGGACGGCGGAGATGATGCATGGAGTGAGGTGGCGGCGGTGATGATGGGAATGGATAGGGTGGGTGCGAGTGCAGGATATGGCGATGGAGCTGGAGCTGGAGCTGGAGCTGCAGCAGCAACCATTTTTATGGCGTTTATCAGTGGAATGAAGTCATGCTGTTTTGAAGGAGAAGTGTTTTGTGGGGAAGGAGGGAGGGGTTTAATGGTTACGGTTGACTGTTTAGTCGTTTTGTTTGCTTTTTTTGTTGCGATGCGGTGCGTTTCGGGAGGTCGATGCCTACGACACGTTACGACACGTCAGCGTCAGTGAATTTAAGGCCGCGTGAAGCTGCTATTTTCCTGTGCGGGTTGCACCACGTTGCTGTCCACGTGGACTATTTCTTTTTTGGGTTCGTATTTGTGTAAATTCCTGAAAAGACCAAACTAACCCCAACAACCGTTGTTGAAAAATCTCAACTCAAAAGTTTGTCACACACAGGCTTACAGTCTACTATAATGAATTCGCAACTTAATTGTTGACCAGTTATGTCTCGATTCCGTTTTGTATCTTGTGAAGAAGAATATTTTTTTTGGTAAGTCTTGTCAAGAAGAAATCGGAAGATAATGTATGGATAAATGTTTTTGGTTTTTTCAACCAAAAAACTGGAACATTATAATATATATATATATATAAATCATGGCATGGTTTTCAAACTGAGAAATTTTTGCATGTTCTCGTGGTATACCATGTACATAAGATATGTAGAAATTTTTTATTTTTTTTTTAAATTTTAAAAAGAGTGTAGTAAGTTGGAGTATATTTCCACATGTTTTATGTATATGGGATGGAACACCAGTTGGCTGGTGTACCCATAAATTTTTACAATAATTGAGTTATTTACACTAATGCCATTTGAGGTTTTCGGTGTTTTCACAGAACTCCTTGATGTTACGAATATCCCCAAAGGGTTTAAATTGTTTTTAGAAAACCCCTTCTTGTTGATTTTTTATCCAAAATTTGACAATTTATATGAAAAATTTATCCAAATGACAGAGTTACTCATTGAGATTAGATTGTATACACATTCATTGAGGTTAATTTTGTCATTTGTATAAGTTGTTTTTAATGAAATCGTCCAAAAAGACTTGGATGAACAATCAACGAGAAAGGATTTTGTAAACCTCAGGATGTGTTAGTGTAAATAACTCATAAATTAAATTGACGTGGTTTAAGAAAACTAAAAAATATAAAAAGTTTGGTCAAGAATGATTTTTGGTTTTGGATATGCAAATAAAAGAAAGAATGGATGGGCCTCCAGTAGGATTATTGGGCTATTTGGATGGTGACCAAGCTCACATTTCAAGGCCTTGAACCAACGGATTCCGCATTAGTCGAATCAAATATTGTAATGCAATCTAATTAATATCCATTAACACTAACCATCAACACTAATTATGGATGCTCATGCCCAAG